CTAGCCAAAGTTAAACCACAACAGTTGCTTTGATTACCAGTTCATTGGAACAGAGACTAACTGGTTTATTTCTTGTTCAAACTGCAATAGGACAAGTCTGTTAAGAAATTTGCTCATTATTATAAATAATAATGGTCATCTGCTTGTCAGTTCCCCTCCATTGCTCTCATATCTGTATCATATTCACTGATTTCTTAAAGGCCTTTTCCCACTAATTAGCATAATTTCTTATTAATATTTCTTAGAATTACTACTAAGATGGGTCATCTTATAGGCATTTGTAGTACTGCTGCTGTTAAGCCAGCAGTGGCAAACCATGCTTACACCTATTGAGACACATATCCCTAGCTACTTTCCAGGAACTGCACTTGATATCATCACCTCATCCTCTCAGGTATCATCCTTCCTCATGGGACAACCTCATACTCCCCTGGGCGTGTAGCTACCTTCCCAAATGGTCCATGTCCAGATTGTTCTCTCAGGTTCACTTGTTACACGAATGCCATCTTACACTCAAGTGGAGACCCTTTCTATCACTTTCCTCATTTTACCCACTCAGACATCTGAGAGTATTTTGTTTCTGGCCCTTTCCCTGTATTGCCACACTCCAGCTCTCCCCATGACCTTAGTTAGTATCCCAGGGTCCTAAATAGATCCTGTTTTGGCCTCAGTGACCCACATCATCTTTTCTTTCTGTCATATCCACCAGAAAATCTCTTGTATGTTATTGGGCTGAGAATCGAGTCGAACACCTGACTTCTGTAGCTTATGTGCCTTATACTTGTGATTGAAGCTTGTGCCTGAACCTTTGTAGACCACTGGACAATATAGTAATCCTTTATTTCAGGGGTTTTTTTTCAGTCTGCAGTGTGTGATATCCAGGAAAGGGGAAAACAACAGGGGAATGGGGATGACAGATTATCTTTAAGGGGTCCAGGAAAGGTAAGCCAGGAAAACAAGCCTTTGTCTATTGTTTTAATTAACTAGACAGAGCTCCATACCTCCACTGAAAACTCTTTAAGGTCCAACAGATAAATCAACAACTAGTGCCTTAGGTAGTCTCTGAGCCCTCAAATGCCAATTATTTTGAATTCTCAGTATCAGGAATTTAGAAGATTTACAGGATTTCATTTTGTGTTTGAACTACAAATGGGGAAACCAGGATCGGCTTGATTTTTGTACAGTTCTAAACAGAAGACTGAAAGGCATATATCTTTGCACAACACATTACTGTGTTTTGCATGAGCCATTCTGCAAGCTTGTCGGTAATTGACTCCTTTTTTTTTCAGTTGTTCCGATCCTGTTTGTGGGCCCTTGGGGATTAAGCAGATCAAAACTGGAGAATACAGGGTAGGTTACTAAATGAAATATGCCTTAGAATATAGATTTTGTTTTTCTGTTTGCTTAATTTTTCTTGAGGCCCTTGACAGTAATTGACACAAGTATTGACTACTAGACCACATTAAGATTACACAGAAGCTATTGATAATTGTTACAGTATTTTCTAGGTTCATTTTAGTATTTTTATATTAAACTATTTCTGGGAATTCTCAGATTTACTCATTCGTAAATCAAGAAGTAGAATGAACATTCACTGTTCCTGAAATGGAAGTTATTGTATCCAATGTTCATCCATTTAAATGAAGCAAATTGACAGCACAAACATCGTCAAGAAGAGCAACTTGTTAGTATGAAAAGAAGACCAACGTTTTCATTGGAGACCATCTACACTTTGAGTTCAATTAGTATTCATTGCCATTTTGGAAAAAAAAAATGTTACAGAGAATAATGACAAAACCTGATACGAAAAACTGATACTAAATGAATGTGTTCAGTATTCAGTGAATGATTCAGTAAGAGTAACTTGCACTAGGCACTTTTAACAGGTCAAGAACCATGGTCACAATTCATAGTTCACACATTTACAGTTTCAGATAAATAAATTTGAGTAGGATGAATTTAATTATAAAGTTTTGGTGCTATGTACAGTTGTTATATGGATCCAAAGACTGAATTTGCCAGATAGCTCTGAAATCTACAGTCTGAGACTTCCCTCAACATTTTGGAGGGAGACGTTCAGAATAAAGACAATTACAGTTGTTGGTGAGGCTCTTCCTAGTTTTATTCCATTTCTCCTCAGTACCACCTGACAAAGTTGAACATTGTCAACTTCCTTTTCAAATACATACGTAGGTTATGTAAAGTTTTTGATTTTGGTGAGGGTTTTTCTTGTTTGGTTTTTTTTTTTTTTCCTATGAAAATTGTGTAATTATACTTTTAATTATCCTTCAGGTGCTGGGGAACAAATGATCACATGGGTATCTGGTGGATCATCCGAGGACCAATGTTGTTTTCCATTGCAGTAAGAACTATTTCTTACTATGTATTCCTAGTATGATGCACAAGTGTGATTGTCTTTTGTGACTCTTTCTCCAAGTATAATTCCATCCTTTGTTTAGAAAAGATGAGACAGAAAAAATTGTAAATTAATTTTCTCATTGTTGGTGGAATGGCACAACTTCTTTTCTATCTACAAAGATTTCAGTGTCAACCTCTCAAAACGCTGCTGTTTACCTATGCAGTGAATTCTCCACAGCCCCATCTTTATCAAAGATGGAGCCTTTTGCTTCTCAGATTTTTTACTTCTCATGTTTTCACCTTCATTTTCTCAGTCAACAGGTTACTTAGAGGGTGCTACCATGTGGCAAGCACCAATAGAAAACTCCAAATTCTCAATAGAGAAAGATCTTATGATAGCAAGGGTGCACACAATTAACAACGGAAGTACTGATGGTCAGGGGGAGGAAGCATTCACCTAATGAAAAAAGCCAAAGCAGCATAACATGACAAGACTGAGTTATGAATTTTTTTCTTAAACAAATGAAAAGTGTACACCTGAAAAGTGGTGATAATGAAGACATGCAAATAGCATGATCAAAACAATTCATGAGGACATGATTATAAACACAGAATTTTGATAGGTGGGACTATGGTTTGTGTCTAGAATACCTAGTGTTCTCACATAGTCAGCAAGGAATAAAAGGATCAGAAGAATAAGTGATTTGCTTAGCTAGACATAGAAAATGTTGTAAAGAAGAGATGTACTTTACTCATGCAAATATGCACAGGGAGTAAAAGAAGGGCTGCTCAAATTATAATATTGAAGAATTGATGTATTCAGTGTGTCAGTTGGAAAGGAGGGTATTGATTTCTTGCCACACTGAAGAAAAGATGTAGAAATTAAACTTCAGAGAAAAAATAATGGACTTTGGTTTGCTACTACTGAGTTGGAGAGAACTCTGTGAGAGAGAAAGTGGGCATAGTTGGGACTGAACTGTGAAGAAGAGAAACACACTTAGTAGCCATCAAAAAAAGTAAATAATTATAAGGACAATGGAGGACTCTATTAAAAAAAAAAAAAAAAAAGCAGTGGAGAGAAGAGCCAGAAATGAAAGAAAAAAGGTTGAGAGTTGAGAGGAAGAAAATGCCAAAAGAGAGCATTAAAAAAGCCTGAAACTGTCCAAAAACTGAGGAAACGGTCAAGATATACGTAGTGAAGACCTGAGGGGATCTGAACCAATTTCTTCCTGCATATGTCTAATTCCAAAAGAAGACTCAATCATCAGTTCACTTTAAGGGCCTGACCAGAAAATACACAGCTAGTGCAGCATGACCAGTAAAGACAAATAACATTTCTGTTACATCAAAGTCCTTTGCTTCTGTTGTAAGAATATCAAGTTCACTGATGTTTGCATGCTCAGCCCAGAACAAGTCCCCTGAATAATACAACATTAAACATACTTAAGAGGAAGGAATGCATTCTGAAGTTATTTGAAGACTAGCACTTGGATGGAAACAATCAGTAATTTAAAAATACCTTTTAATTAAGATATTCCTGCAAAATTTCCTTTTATGCCCAATAGAGCATAATACTTGCTGGTGCAAATCAGTGCAAAGAACTGAGGATGTGAACCACTGTTTTTAGCGTAAGTAACATCAAGATTGCATGTTACATCAAGAACACAGCATGTTCCACTCCGTTCAGTACTTGTGAGAGCCCATCTGGAATACTATAGCCATTTTTAAGACATTAACATACTGGAGACAGTTCAGAAGAGGCCGTCGAGACTACTGAGGCCTGGAGTACATGATGTACAATAAAAGGCTGAGACAACTGTGTTGGTTCAAACTTAAGAAGAGAAGGCTAAGAGGCGATCCAGTTGCTATCTCCAGTAGCAATAAAAATGGGGGCATATAGGGCCAGGAGGGTACAGCAAGGGATTAGTGAAAAGAGACAAGAGCTGTAACATGCTAAGTTCAGACTAGATATAAAGAAATTTCTGAAGATAACTTTCTAACTTTAATCCAGATGTTCATGATACTACCTGGAAAGCTCCTGTCATCATCAACCAAAACTAGAGGAAAATATATTTCCTGGGGTTTTTTCCTTCATTTTTCATTGAAGTTAATGCTATTTTTGTCCTTCAATATTTTGGATGAAATAAGACATGGTTTCCTACTACAGACCAATACACAGAAATAAACATAAAGTGACAGAAAGTGACAGAAAGGTGGACATAAAGTGACAGAAGGGATAAATTTGTTCAAACATCCTTCTAACTAAAGCTGGCAAAGAGAGGTCACCTTAGATTTATACAAAGATAGATCAATACACACACAGGTTATTCCTCTAACATAATTTTTAATTCATGCTTTTCTATATTACATTTTGTGGTCTTCTGCCTTAGTCTTATTTCACAGATTCATATAGCCCCAGCAATTAATTTTATTCTGAGCACGTAGCCTCAGGTCACTACCAGTGCTCATAGTCATTAAGTATTAGAAAATACAGAAAAAGTGTAAAAAATACAGCACTATCAGACATCTTTCTACTGAAGAACAAGCAGCAGCTAGAGGACAGTTGAAGCTGTTTCACTTCCCAGCAATGTGTACAGAAGAACACGCTCATCTTCTTCTTGGGATGACTTTCTTAGACCTACTTGTCTCGTAGTACTGAGTCCTTGAAGTGGTGAAGGAACTCACCTGTCTTCATCCATTGCTTACTTGTGTATTTTGACACCAATGCTCATTTTAGAAGGAGCCATAAACTTTCTGAATAAATGTCACTCAGACATCCTGTTGCTCCTCGTTTGCAAGACTCTGATCGTTCCTTAGAATCACACTGATTGACCCTTACTTGGAAATTACTTCTAAGGCAAACAGGAAATACATTTACAGACCTGAGATCACAGAATCAAGTTTGCCGGTCTGCACGATGGTGGCCAGCAGTGTAGCTGAACATGGGGAGTTTCCTTCTGTGGCTTGATCAGCACCAGCATCACTCCACCACTGATATCATAGGAGAAGCAGGGAAGGGATCAATATGAACTGAAACTAAAAGATTAAGAAAAATAGTTTGAAGGAGAACAGAAGATCAAATATGACTAGAAATGGAGAAGGAGCAAAGAATGGTAAAGAGGAATTAAAGAGGATGCTCAACAAGAAAAATTGGATAGAGGGACAGTGAAATACATAGTGGGCAGAAATGAAGGGGTTAGAAACCCAGAGTCAGATCATGTAATAATCAGACAGGATGTTTTCAATACCCTATTCTTGAATATAATTCAGCAAACTTTCCTAAATCCATTTGCAAAATATTTGTCAGCATTACCTAATGATGGTTATGCATGGATTATTACAGCCAGATACTGCAGCTGGACCTTGCTCTTATAGGGCATAGGTTAGTGTACAGGCCAGAAGTTCCTAACATTTTTCTTGTGACGCATCAAAAATGCAAAATTTGTATTTTCCTTTTTTTTTTTCCTTAATCTTATGGACCTTATTCCACAGTCCTGTTTTGTGTAAATAAAATTAAAAGAATCATGGGGAAAGTACCATACTAGCTTGAACATGACTATTTCCTGACCACCTGTATTCATGTATAGACAGCCTGGAAAAGAATGATTCCACCTTGCAATATATTATTACCATCCAGAAATTTCAGAGTACTTCAAAAAGGAAGTCATCGTCTGAGTTTGGTGGTGGAGAACTGGAAGAAACTATGGTTGATGTAGTTCTTAACACTGATCTTAAAAACTGCATGTTTCATTTTGATTTCTTTGTCCCACATTAGGTAAGAAATAAAGTAGTAGAGTTCTTGTACATAGTTAATATTTTAGATTTTATATTGAAATGACTGTTTATAGCTGTAATCCCAAGTTGCTACTAAATGGTTTTACATTTTTAATGTGGGTTCGGAGCTAATTTTCTTAATATCAGTACTTATGATAGGATCACCCTGCTGAGACCATCAAAGCACTGACAGGGATCATGGCATAGCTGTTGTAATGACCAATTCAATGTATGGTGTGGATGAGCAAACAGTGAGGTAGATTGAAAATTGACTGTATGGCCAGGTCCAGAAGGTGGCATTAAGTCTAATTGGAGGCTAATAACTGTGAGTGTACCCAGTACTGGGTCCAATCCTATTTAACATCTTCATTGATGATCTGGACAATAGGGCAGAGTGTATCCTCAGCAAATTTGCAGATGACACAAAATTGGAAGGAATGGCTGAGGTCCTTTCCAGGCTGGAAAAATGAGCTGGCAGGAACCTCGTGAGTTCAGTATGGAGCAGTGCAAAGCCATGCAGCTGAGGTGGTACAACCTCAGGCATCAGCATTTGCTGGAGTTTGCCCAGCTGGAAAGTGGCTTTACCTGGGGGCCCTGGCACACACCAAGTTAACTATGAGCCAATGATGTGCCCATGTGGGGCAAGGAAGGGCTGCATTAGACAAACCATTGCCAGCAGGTTGAGAGAGGTGATCTTTCCCTCTGGTCAGCACTGGTGATAGGTGCCTAGGGCTTTTGATTTGTGGAAGTGAAATAGTTAATGTCTCATAGGCATTTTCAGGCATTGCAAGCCTCATTAAAAAAGAAACTTGTAGATTGGTCTTGGCCAAGTCAAAACAATTTAATTCACAAAGGAGTGAATTATTCGTAAATGAATGCCCAAGGCTTCCTTGTCTGGCTGTCTAGAGCCTCTTTACCTGAAGAATTGGAATTACTACTAGTTTTACCACATCCTGCTTACCTTACATGGTTTAGTGAAGAGTTGCATGACCTAAATGTATATAAACTCTGTTAACCGTCTCATTTGGAGAGCATCGACACAAGCAGTCTGTCACTGTTGCTCTGTGTTCTCTGCTGCAGCTGTGGCACTAACCTGTTTCTGTTCTGATGTCAACTACATTCCGGTTATCCAGTGACAGGTTTTAAAAGTGTTTAATATCAATTTTACATTTCTTTAATAGCTATATGGGTAGTGTCGTATCATTTATTGTAGGTAACTTATATGTATTTCCTTTCAAGGTTAACTTTGTCATCTTCTTAAAAATTCTCAGGATGCTGATTTCCAAACTAAAAGCTCAGCAAATGAGCTTTCATGATTACAAATACAGGTATGTAAAAAATAACAAAGAAGTCCTAGAGCTTTTTTTTTTTTTTAACAACATCTAAATATTGCCAGTTTGCCCTTGAAGATTATACATTTACCTAACACCACAAGGTGTAACATGTTCAGAGTATTATATGGGAAAGCCATCTGGGCAAACAGGTTCCACAAATGTTTTCTTATCAGAGAGGTAAATGCAGGTCAAGGACTTTGAAATGCAGTAAGATCATTGCTCTCTGGTATTCTCATTGTACAACTGTGGCCTCTAAAGCTGTGACCCTTTTATTTTTTTTTTCCTTTAGTGTGACAAAAGGTACTCAAAAGGAGGTGTAGAAGATTTGTGGGACATTCCTAAGTGACACTAGCATTTCTGATCTGCGTTTTTTAACAGCCAGAACACTGTTGAATCAAGAATGTCCCTGGTCTTGAAAACCCAAATCATAGAATCATAGAATGGTTTGGGTTGGAAGGGACCTTAAAGACCATCCAGTTCCAACCCCCTGCCATGGGCAGGGACACCTTCCACTAGACCAGGTTGCTCAAAGCCACATCCAGCCTGGCCTTGAAGACAGCCAGGGATGGGGCATCCACAGCTTCTCTGGGCAACCTGTTCCAGTGCTTCACCACCCTCTCTGTGAAGAATTTCTTCCTGATATCTAATTTAAACCTCCCCACTTTCAATTTAAACCTGTTACCCCTTGTCCTGTCACTACAGGCACTTGTAACACCCAGCTTCCTTGTCAGCCCCTTCAGGTACTGGAAGGTGCCATAGGGTCTCCCCAAAGCCTTCTCTTCTCCAGGCTGAACAAACTCAATTCTCTCAGCCTTTCTTCACAGGGAAGGTGCTCCAGCCCTCTGATAATCTTTGTGGCCTCCTCTGGACTCACTCCAACCCATCTACATCCTTCTTATGTTGAGGGCTCCACAGCTGGATGCAAATGAGAACATTATCCTTAGCCTGCACTCTTGCAGGCGCTGGTGTGGGCTCTTTTATCAGAATCTCAGTGGTATATCATGTCTTCTGTAAAGTCCTGGAGTTGGCCTTTGCATAAACATCTTCCCACTTTGTAGGAACAGCCGGCTCTGCAACGAGCTATGGGTGCAGTGAAAACTGTACTTATGCCAGTTGAAACGTGAGGATTTTTTAACTGTTTTCAACATCCCAGTTCTTTCCAGTATTGTGAATCCCTGTCTGCTACTACAATCTTGCCTTACTAAGACGAATTATTTTATTGTCTAATAGGACTGAGCGGAGGAAGTCAGGATGGAAATTCTACTACTAACTTTGTATTAAATTCCAGTATTAAATCCCTAACAAGAAGCATATTTCCATTTTCTTTCAACATTCAAGGTCCAAAAGATCTCAGTTATGTTCTCCAGATTGTTACAGAAAGATTGCTGTAATGATAGTCACAGACAGCAGTGCCTGTATTTAACATTGCCTAATGTTTTGTGTTTTATTCTCTTTTCTACTGCTTATAATTTTGCTAATCTTTCAAACACCCAAGCTATTCCTTACATTGTGAGCCTTCCTCAAAACTCTTTTTTTTTGAGATCTCTTCTTTCACCTATGCAAACATGTTCCCACACTTGTTAAAGTAGATTCTCTTTCTTAAATATGATTCTGGTCACATTTTTAAAAAGCTGATGACTGCTGACAGTACCATAGAAACTTTTTATGCAGCTACATGGAGTTTTCAGCAGTGACAGGAAGGTCTAAGAACCCTGTTAACAGGTCACTCATATTTAGCTGTGTAGTTACTTCTCTGTTACCTAGCAGCATAATTTTGGTGATAGTGGCCTTTCTGTTCAATTTCTTGTACCTAACTTTTCACCTTACACCCAAAGCCAAGATTCACATCTATACAGACATTTTTGATAGTGTGCTCCAGAATTCCTATCTGGGAATTTGTCCTCAAAATCACAAAATTACTAATACCATTCCAGAGTCATAATATTGAGGGATTATTTCTGGAATCATTTATTTGTAGATGAATTTTTGATTTTTGCACCAAAGATGCAATAAATACTAAAATTAAACATTTTCTTTTTAAAAGATTGGCAAGATCGACACTTGTACTGATTCCATTGTTGGGGATCCATGAATTTGTATTTACCTTCATCACTGATGAACAGGTTGAAGGATTTTCAAGACATATAAGACTTTTCATTCAGCTGACAATGAGCTCATTTCATGTAAGTACTCTTTTGCAAATACTGGTGTTAAGGGTCATAGATATCCACATATATTTGTTGTTCACCTATAGATACTGCAGATATACAGTATTCTTATTTGATATTATTCTCCAACCTATATCTTTAAATACACTATTACAGTGCCAAGAAAAAAAAATATATAAACTGCATATTCAAAATGTGGTAGTCCCAAAAACTAAAAAAGGAGTCTGACATCTTCGGAAACACTGTGTCCTGTGTTCTCTGGTAATGGATGACAGTTCATCACAACCTCCTGTTCTAAGAACATGATTAAAGTGGTCTACTTAAAATATGTTTCATGTAAGTTAATTCCTAAAATGCACTGGATAGCCTTTTTTAGCAAGATTTTCAGGTGTTCTGTTGGCTGTGCAATCACACTGAGTTAGTGCTGGACTCTTTCAGTGCGTAGTACACATCCAGAATACTTCAAACACAACACAATGACCTTTTTGTTGTGCCACTGTACAAACAAAAAACAATCAAGACTTCACTTTAGCTTGGGTATTTGGGACAGTAAGTTCATCACTAACACTTCGCTGACACTGTGGGCCTGTGAGATAGTCCTTACCTTTTAGGACTTTTCCCGAAAGGAGTTGAATGTAGTCTACATGGTATTCGGGGCAGTTCAATGAGAGGAGATGTAGATCTGAATACTGTGAAAACAAGTAAAGTTAAAACATTTCCTGTGAGGAGAAGCATGTGGAAGATAAGGAGGAACTGTTTTCTGTGTGGTTCCAGCCTAGAGGACACACTCCTGATACACATACCAGACTAATGCCCTCATAGCATTGCACTGAAGATGTCTTGTACAAGAACTTTGTCAGGGCCATGACTCACCTTAGTTGTGTTTTGTTCAGCAGTTGTGACATGTGAGCCTAGAGAATAACTTAAAGATATTTTTATGCCAAAACTACACCTACATACTTCAGGCCCTAGTTCATATATAGGTATCAAAGATATCAGCCGACATGCCTTTTTGGGGATCTCAGTTTGAGGCTTCTATCTCTTTCATGGGTTTAAGTATAAATTCAACAAAGCCCTTAATGCAACAGAAGTAAAACACAGAAACCCACCATGAATTGAGTGAACAGACACCAGTTAAAAAGTCCAATTTGCACACTAGACCACTGATAAATGCACTCCTCTGGTGAAATGGAGACAGCACAAGCTTCAGCTACGAGACCATTTATCCTATTCAGGGAAGTGCCCAATAAGACTTACGCAGCACCATTTCCTCCTGCCCAAACCTGTGTAAGCCAGCGATCAAAGGTTCAAAATGAACTGAAAGGAAGAAGTATCAAAGGGAATCTGAATCTGTAGTTTAGTGATTAGACCAGCTGTCTGGGAAAGGGATACTTTGAGGCATTGGCACCTGTCCCTGAGTGTTGATAATAAGTATAGATTTTAAAAAGTAAAAGAAAATTAAAGGAGAGGAGAAAGGATTAGAACATCTCAGCACTTGCCTTACTCATCCTTTACTTCCATTCACAGTCATGTGAGATATGGCAGTAGTCAATACTAGCCTGCCTTGATTCAAAGAAGGTGCAGATGTACCTCCATTCAGAGAGCCTGATAGCTGGGTTATTGCTCTAGGGCATAGCTATGTCTCTGATGAGGCACTAGGTATTTTTTGTACTTCCAGGTTATTGAGCAAAATATGGGACATATAGAATCGTAGAACTGTTGGGGTTGGAAGGGACCTTAAATAGCATCTAGTTCCAACTCCCCTGCCATGGGCAGGGACATCTTCCACTAGACCAGGTTGCTCAAAGCCTCATCCAGCCTGGCCTTGAAGACAGCCAGGTATAGGGCATCCACAGCTTCTCTGGGCAACCTGTTTCACTGCTTCACCACCCTCTCCAGGAAGAACTTCTTCCTGATATCTAATCTAAACCTCCCTGCTTTCAATTTAAACCCATTACCCCTTGTCCAGTCACTACAAGCCCTTGTAAAAAGTCCCCTCCCAGCTTTCTTGTAGGCCCCTTTCAGGCACTGGAAGGCTGCAATAAGGTCTTCCCAGAGCCTCCTCTTCTGCAGACTGAACAAGGCCAACTCTCTCAGCTTTTCATCATAGGAGAGGTGCTCCAGCCCTCTGATCATCTTCGTGGCCTCCTCTGGACTCACCTCAACCAGTCGATATCCTTCTTATGTTGAGGGTTCCACAGCTGGACACAACTCCAGGTGGGGTTTCACAAGAGAAGAGTAGAGGTGGAGAATAACCTCCCTCGACTTTCTGGCCACACTTTTCCTGATACAGCCCGGAATACTATTGGCTGTCACAACAGCCAGCTGAAGAAAAGCATATTGCCCACTTACTATGGCTGGATTCTTAACACAGGTCTAAGTCCTTGCAAGCAATAACTGAAGCAGTTACATTTTCTGCTTTGTTATTTCTTTCTTGGTTGCTTTGCATTCCATCTTCCAGTTACTGAGATTGTCAGTCCCAGACAAGGTGCCCAGTGCCCCATTCTCTACCCCATTCAGTATATACAGGAGCTTAGCACTTAATGACACTTGAGAAAAATTACATTTGTGTAGGCCTGAGTAAGGTGGATGGCCTATACCTCTGCAAACTGACTCAATTCGCCTTGGCTTTCAGCAGTCTCTGCAACTTGTCATGTGGGACTCCACACAGCAGATTTCCACCTCTGATGTTTCATTACAATGCAACAGCACCCATCAGTAAACAGGGCATACTGCTTTTCATTTTCTGGCATTTGTGGTACAAACAGGCTTCTTCAGCCTATGTCACCTCCTCCTCTGGTGACATTCCAAAGTCTTTGCCTTCTGGCCAGTCCATGATCACTTCCTAGATTCCTGGGTGACTGGGGTTTTCTATTTGAGATTGTTGTGTTATCAGGGTGACCCATTTACTCCAGGTAGCATCAGTGGCATGATGAGTAGCAGATACTCTGCCTTTGAACATCCAGCCCAGCACTGGTAGTTGAGGTGCCAGGAGGAGCTGTGCTTCAGTTCCAACCACTTCTGAGGCAGATCAAACTCCCTCATAAGCTGCCAGTATTTCTTTTTCAGTTGGAGCGTAGCGGGCCTTGGATCCTCTGTATCCCTGTCTCGAAAATCCTAGGGGTCGACCTCGGGTCTCCCCTGGATCTTTCTGCCAGAGACTCCAGGTAGGGCCGTTCTCCCC